ATAGTATAGAAGTGAGACAGTCGCATCATAAATGGGTCGCAGAGTGCCCAAGCAATGTAATCAACTTACTTGATCGACGACGAGATCATCGGCGTGCTGCGACTAACTGGAAATTCTACAGGCGGATAGAGATTGGCTAATTGCGGCTGCAAGCCAAAGTTGTACATCTTGCCGAGTCCTTACAAAAATACTTTAGCGTTATCTTCGTGATGGCGTTGAGTCAACGCGATGGTTGTCGTATCGAAAATTTTATTCAAGACATCCTGTAGAATTCCATCCGGCGCGATTTCCACGAACGCTGTATTCTCCGGAATCATTTTCGCGACATTTTCGAAAAATATAGGATTCACTAAATTGTTGGTAAAGTATTCTGCATACGATATGTTATAATCGCAAGGCAATCTGCACCATTTTTGTTTATGCATCATCTTTTGTGGTAATGCCCGTTGTAATTTAGCCAAAATATTTTCTCTCGCAGGGACGATATAGCAACTATGAAGAGGAATATTGCAACAATTTATCTCCTTATAAGAGATTTTGTTAATCTGTGTGTGAGTGAATAAACAGAATTATTTATTTAATATATTGTGTAAGAGACTGAATATACTGAAGGAAAAATGAGGAATACCTCTAATTTCTTCGTAAATGCCACTATTGATTCCCTCAGCCCGACGATGGAACATGTATCTGGACTATAGCTGCATATTACTTTGATATCTACTGGACACATGATTTTCGCTTCTTTGTAACTAACGCCAATATCCGTCATGGCGTACTTCGCTATTTTTGTTTCTTCCAACGCCAATCCTATGTAGTAGGCAGACAAAATCACTTGTTCGATCGTGAAGTCACCAGTTATATATCCGCAACAAAGTTTACCGATTGAATGACCGATGGTATAGTCTGGCACAACGTTTACCGACATCAAGAGATCTATTAATCCAAGCTGAGGAAGGAAATAAAGGGGTCATGTTTTTCGAATTTCACGTAATGCTTGGGAAGAGCATGAAGGTTATTCTTCAAATCGACCATATCATATGTTATGTAAATGAGAACAATTTATTACAAGCGTTTTAGCTTAATTGAGCTATGTTAAAATTTACGAAGTACGTGAGTTTCAGAGTAATCAGTAAAATGATCTTCTCTCTTCGATATTGGTCTTTACTGCGCGATCATTGTTAGAAAATTTGTCACCTGCATTGCAGTGATGCTCACGACTGTGTTCGATATACAGTCAAGGGTGACTTTTTGTTTACTTGTTAAAATGTCGATGATGTGCACTCCATGTATCTTTAGAAGTGTATCACATTTTTCTATGGTTTCACAGAATGCTGGAAAGCGCAGTAATGCTTTTCCTGTCAACATATAAATTCAATTTTATTGATAAACAATTAACTATAATCGTTTCGCTTACGTAAAAGAGAGAGAAAATACCCATACCAGACCATTGGGATCCGATACCGGAAAACACAAAACAGATCGGCTTTCTTACTCCATCATAATGATCTATTTCGCTCGTTATGTTGCTCGATATTTGGTTTTCAACAATCGTATAACCTCTGTAAGGATGATTTAGAAGTTTTTCCGCATGGAGTTCGTGCAACAGCCGAACATATTCAACATCTACCGGTTGACTTCCAATCTAAATTGGACATATTTTGCATGAATGCAGACTTCTGTCTTTTAACTGACACAATTTTTACTTACCTCACATAAGAATGACTCCACTGCTTGTTCGGTACGACCGGACAGGACGACGAGTCTTGGCAAATCATCCTTTGGTGCCCCACCGTTGACTTTTTGCTTCATATTAGGTGCTAATAAAATATGAGCATTAGCTCCGCCAAAACCAAAAGAATTTAAAGCCACAAAAGTAGGTTCCCATATTGTTGGAGTAGTCACGACTCGTATAGTCCCTCGCTTAAAAGCTTCAATATCATCTCGTTCTTTTGTGATATTTATGTTTGGTGGAATTATGCCAGTTTCCATTGTTATCAGCACCTTGTCAGAGAGAGAAGGAAATATCCATTTTGAGAAAATTTCTAACTTCAAAGACGCGTTATGTTGAAAATTTGAATATCCTTATGAATAATGATCTCTTTCGACATTTCCATAAAAAATATTTCAAATATTTTCAAGAATAACACTATTTAAATGAGCGCAGATTACAGAACATCCCAGTTGTATGACGTAAGTTGATGTTTTATTATTATAGCGTATGGAATAGCTATTTTTGATATTGATAATATCTGTGTCTTTGATAAATTTATTTAATTATTAATATCTATCACGCTACCTTAATAATTTGAAGCAGGCCGCTGGCAGGCTCAGCATGACCAGTGTTTGACTTGCTGCTACTAATTAGTAAAGGGCCTTGTCTATCCTTGCAAAAAACTTTTTCGATTGAATTAATTTCTATTGGGTCGCCAACTTTCGTGCCAGTACCATGAGCATCGACGTAGGCAACAACAGACGGCGATATATTGCATTCATCGTAAAACTGTTGTAATAAAAAACTTTGCATTTTTATCGATGGGAAGGTAATGCCTTCTTCTTTGAATCCGTCGCAATTCGTCTTGCAATGAATTACAATTGCGTAAATTCTTTAGCATTCTTCGCTTTTGTAAAAACACTACCCTGATCGCCTCACTGCGCATGTAACCATTCGCATTAATATCGAAAGGTTTGCAAAACCCGTCGGACGATAAAACACCTGAAATTACAAAGTGCTAAATGATAGCAGTTACTTTTGTAAAAAAATATAAAGAAATATGTTTATAAATATATTTCTTTATTAAATTTTGGGATTAATTATTTATCTGTGACGTTCGAAGTGCGGCGTAAAGAGTAATTATAAGGTACCTAGTCGCATGAATTGCAAAGATATTACAGGATTTAGCAGAGATTTGTGGCAGCAACGATCATGTTATCACATGTCCAAATTTTATATTTCTATATGCGTTGCTCCATAGCGTACATAGTCGAGCTGCAAGCCGTATCGACCGTGTAAGATGGCCCTGTGACACCTAACCAGTGAGAAATCCAATTTGCTTGCATGGACCTTCTACATTCTAGACCTCCATGATCAGTAACCTACAATACATGTATATATAGAGTATATTAATATACAGTATATAATACTATAGTATGGAAATAGTTATATAAAATTATATATATGGATATATAATATTTTTTGTAGATAGTTTCTTCTTTATAATCTCTTATGATATCTATCTAATTGCTTTTATATAGTATTATTTTATCGTATTTATACGGTTAAGATGATGGTAATATAAAATCAGTAGCAATAAAACTCCAAATTTTCTCAATTGATCGTGCTTTAAACGTAACAGACGGCAACAAGCACAAACTCATCAATCAATATCTCAAATTCAGTTTAACAAGAGTTTTTGCCGGTTAGTATATAAATAACATACAATTGTTATCTTCATTCTTGTCTTGATTTAATTCACTCAATCTCATCTCTTTGCGATTTAAATATCAAAATCGTAAATTATCGAGGAAAATAGAAAATTTACTTTCGTTTAAAAATCGATCAGAAATCCTTTATCTATTAAATTAAATTATCCCCACACTTCTCTTTTTATATTAACTGATTACACTTATTAAATTTTAAATGAGACGATTATACGAGGATCATTCAATAAGACCTTAGAAAATCCAAGAGATGGCGCTCGCAGTATCAAAATGGTTTGTTTTTAATAAGCATCATTACTCGTACTCGCTAGACAGCTGTTAAAGTCTCAGTTATATCCATCACATGGTTTCATTTTTATTGTCGATTGAAGCAATAAACTTTTCTTTATTTAAAAAATGGAGAAAAAGTGAGTTTCTAGTGGTGATTAAACACTTATATTTAAAAGGCTAACACCGAAAGAGATTAAAGCTGAGTTAGATGAAGTTCATGGCACATCTGCTCCTGTCTTTGCAACTGTTTACAATTGGGTAAATGAGTTTAAACGTGGCCGTACATCCACAAAGGATGAACATCTTTCGGGACGTCCAGTGGAAGTGACTACCCCCGAAATGATTGACAAAATCCACGATATGGTTNCGCAATCGCGTTGGAGTCGTTCGCGGCTCCAGATCTCCTTAATAGCTATATGTCAACATTGCATAATCACAAAAGAGCGGGAAAATCTTTACAATTTCAAATTGATTTCATAACTGCTTAAGATAATTTAATTATTCATTTGTACACCTAATATTATCTCTTGAATTACGTATATCGTTTGTTAAATTACGATATGTCAAATTGATTTACTGTCCAAATAATGGTAATAATGTTTTATCGTACAGTTTACTTTCTGAAAAGGCAAAAAGCAAGGTTTCTTAAGTATTATTAAACAGTCTTAAAATCGGCCTTTAATCTCATCTATAAATTAATTATAGAAATTGAAAGATTCGCGAAAGTAGAAAAGAATCAATAAATAGTATACCATGAACTTTCTTCTCTGTATCTTAGATGTTCTTCTCTGTATCTTTATTAGAATATTAAATTAGAATATATAGAATATAGTGTATAGTATACATACACGCACATATTACAATCCTATGTGCAATGTGCCTGACGATTAAGGACAACACTTGTTCGTAAAATGATAAAGGACACTTCTAAAACGTAATCTATATTTTAAAAGAGTCCTTTGTCATTTTACAAACAAGTGTTAATTAGAGAATTAATAAAGTTTAATAAAGAATTAAAGGGTTAATATAAGAATTAAAGGATTAAAACGTAGATTTACCTGTTGTAGGAAGGTGGAATTAGAAAATGAATACAGCGGTTTAGCCGTACAAGATGAAAGGAAATATTTTATATTAACGTCAGAAATTCTGATCGTTGTATTTTTTTCAAATTCCATCTTTCTACAACAGGTAATCTACGTTTTAATTCTTTAATTTTTATATTAACCCTTTAATTCTTATATTTAACATATATTATTATAATATTGTATATTATAAATCATTATTTTCCATTATTAATATATCAATATATTGTATCAATATATTGCCCATTGATAGTAGCTACAACTTTGTCGCTGTATAATATCGAAGAGTGATTTCCTTTGATATAATGCACCTGCACATTTCCAGTGGTAATCTGAAAATTATTCCGTTGAATAAAATTCCTCCGTGTGAATTAAACAATTTTGATCGTAGTAAATTTTATATGATATATACCTTATGGAGGTCATAATCCTCATGAGGAAAATTCAGCGACATTGTGGTTGGCTTAAGAAGTATTACGGGTGACGTAATTTTCGGTAATTCCGTTATGTTATACTTATATAATGCTTGCACGTGTTTGTAAATTGTTAAACATAGAGACTTCATAGATTCGGCAGAGAATTTCATATATAACGGAGGAAGAAGTTTTACAAACATATTTAGCTTATCGTCCCAGTTAATAAGTTTATTCAGTTCCAGGAAAAGCTGCAAGATAAGTAGATTATTTGACTTTTTCCGGAGAAATTCACGTTTACAAATAATATTTATAATAATAAATACCTTTCCACTAATCGTTGGCTCTAAATATCCATTATACTTAGAAGAATATTATTCTCAAGTTCCTCAGTTGTAGCGCCAGATATAATTTGATTTAACAATGCTCTTAACTGTTCAGGTGCGCCGTCGATGAACACCAATCGGCCTTGGAAGTGCATTTTTTCCAACCTTCTTGCTAACTCGATCGCAATTAACGTTCCATACGAATAGGCGATTATAAGGAAATCTTGCTTAGATTGATTCTTTGTATCATATGCTGAAAGTGCAGAAAAGACGATGAAATATAATAGTAGTTAAAAAAAGGAATTAATATTGTATAAGGTTATATTGTGTTACAATGTAATTTTACTTGTACTTTATGCTATATAACTATATTGAAGTGAAAGATTCATACTTTGAAGATACTATCAACGATATCGGCTACTGTGTTACAATTTTTGTCGATATTGTAAGTTCCATATTGTAAGCATGTTGCTGATGCTTCAATTTTCGGCGCCAAAGAACAGAAAATATTTCCACAACCTTCAATTCCTGGCAAAAGGAATATCTCGTCCTTCGTTGTATCGCCTTTCGTTTGAAGATTCATACAGATGTCGTTTATTAAATTGTCTTCACCCATTGTATGGATAAATAATTTTAGACCAGTCGATTTATTTCCATCCGCAACATCACCAGAGCGTAAATTCTCATTCTTCGCTTCTTCTCTGCTCAAACATTTCAGCAAGTTTGGCAAAAGTGAGATTCCGAATATCCTGGGCAGCGAAAAATATCCCATGCTCCCGTTCTAAGGTTTGTTTGATTTCTACGACCATCATCGAGTCCATTCCAAGTTCAGACAGGCGTGCCTGAGCAGGACAGTGGTCAAATCCTTCACACCTGTATTAATAGTCATTCGTAATTAATAAATATAATGTAGCAACGTCCGAACTGCGAGAAGCACAAGCAACTGCAAAAATCGACTCACACAAACATTTGTACATTATATGCATTTCTCCTCCTCAAATAATAGTTAACAGTTAACCTTTTCCATCTCATTTTAATTAATACTTTTCACTTACTCATAATGTTGGCTACGGTGTCAACAACACTGATGGAGCTAACAGCGCTCGAACGCTTCTCTGCCACAACCATGCTCGCCGTTACTGGCTGCTCTTGTAAGAGAAATTCTTCCAGCTTCTCGATGCAGGAACTTATTTTTTGCTGCAATGTACCGCCAATGAACATTTCTTTGTCGTCCTCTTGCATGTCGGCTACAATACCGACATCGCCGATGGCGCCCCATTGAATCGCCAATCCTTGTAAGCCTTCCTGTGTTCTTCTCTCACAGATTCTTTCCATGATAGAATTTGCCATTCCGTAATTGCTCTGCCCGGCATTGCCTCTACCGCACGACACGGAGGAGAAGACGACGAAGTGACGTAGCTCAGGACATATGCATTTGGACAACTGATCCAAGTTCTTCGTGGTCCACGCTTTCGCTTTGAATGGTTCCTGGAATGTCTCTATCGTGTGATTCTGACAAATCTTGTCGTTTAGTACAACAGCAAGATTGAATATGGTGTCTGTTGGCGCCAATTGCTCCGCTGTTCTCAATATGTACTCGCAATCTTTGATGTCTGATGCATCGACGTTCGATACGATTAATATTTTCACTCCGTAAGATTTCCACAACTCAACCTTCATACGCTGATAACCGTTCTTTAGTCCAGTTCGTGAGATAAGCACGAGGTTCCTGGCACTGAATGACTAACTAGTCGGCTAATTCCAAGCCGAAACCACCCAATCCTCCCAGGATAATGTATGACCTATTCGGTAGACAATAGTAACGCGGTAGAGCAAGCAAAGGCGTGTTCATGAATTTTTCCTCCTCTTGTATCTTTATAATTATCTGAAAACATCATATAAAACTTTTCATACTGTATTAACACTATACCTTTCGTAACACTGTACATGCCCGTTTATTATAACTAATGCCATTAGGAAAATTTATCAATCATCTTACCTTTCCAATGTGTTTTCCAGCTGCCATGTACCTAAAAGCCGCTTCTATCTCGTCCTTTTGAAAAACTGTTCTAGTAATTGGCTTTATGGCTCCCTTTCTAAGACCTACTGCTAATATCGTTTTTAAATTATCTTTCTGTTCGTTACTGCTGTTAATAAGAACATCTAACATTATACCGTAAAATGTAATCATATTCGAAAATACCGACATGTTCAATGTATTGTTAGACATCATATCGAATTTTCCAATTTCCAAAAATCGCCCATTTCTGGCGAGGCAACGTACAGACGCTTGAAGTTATCTTCGGTTAATGAATTTAATACAACATCCACACCACGACCATTGGTCTGTTGGTATATCATCTGTTCGAAGCTGATGTCGCGCGAATTCCCAATATGATCCTCCGGTATAGACGGGAAAGTATCTCGTATGAACTTTCGCTTTTCCAAGGTACCAACAGTGGTAAAAACTTCGCAACCATCATGAAGTGCAATATTGATAGCAGCTTGTCCTACAGCGCCGGTACCTGAGTGGATCAGTACTTTGTCGTTTTTCTTTAATTTTCCACGAAGGTACAATGCGTAGTAACATGTGGCATAAGCGCAGGGAACCGTCGCGACGTCCTCGAGAGTCCATCCGTCCGGAATTTCCCAGGATAGATGTTGATCGAACACCCGCATATTTGATATGCACCTGAATAAAGAATTATATCGTTATTGCCTTATGACATCCTCTTGTCAATGTTACACGATTTATCAGTTACACACTTATTTTCGACCAGCCCCATTATTTTGCATCCAGTATCGTCGATACCGACATACTCCAAACCTAATACGCAGTCTTCCAGTCGTCCGCGAGACATATAATCACCCGAGTTAATTTTACCGCTTGCTAGCATTACATCCTTGAAGTTAAGAGAAGCGTAAATTATATTAACGAGATTTTCATGCTGTAATCCAGAGTGATATCGCCTTCAATCCAATGTAATGAAGTTAAATCTCCATGCACCTAAAAGTGATACAATGTTTAATACCATAAAAATGATACTTTGTTTAATTATCTATGATAAGTAACATATCTAGTGTAATAATTTTTTAACCATATGGAAATGGTGATTTAAGATATATTTTGTTTTGTCCGTCAGCGATATGTACCAATTGATTCGTCAAGGCATGATGTACAAGCTTGTGTTTTAGGGTCTCCAACGGAAGATGTCTGTACGATCCCTATACTTTTTCGGGCCGTAAAACATTTATAACGAGATCCATCCGAAGTTGTTCCGTGTAGAATGGATCGTGCAATGAGAATTTCGGTGCGTTCTTGTCCTGAATGAACACTCCTCTAATTAATTCACCGCCCGGTTCTTTCCTCAGACAATTAACGAGACCCAGTAAGCCGCATTCTGTGTCCTTCTCTCCAACAATAATTATTTTCATACTGTTAGTCAATTCGTCCCCCGCGCTTAGAATTGATTTGATTTGTTTCAGCCAAGAGAATTCGTAATTGTTCACGTATATAACTTGCGTTTTATTCGTCGGCTGACCTCTCTTCTTCAAGAGCGTTATAGATTCATTACCTGTCTGTTTCTCGAGTATTACCGCTAGGTTGTTCGCATCCGCGTAGGCAAGATTCGCTTTTGTGAGGGATTGCCCATGTGTCAACAAAAAGCCGTCATCTCTTAATATTAATAAGATTTCTTTTAGGGTTTCGTTTTTGCTGCTCGTTAACAAATTACAGCCTGTGACTAACATTATATTGTTTTTCGTCGATAGCTTCTTTGACTTTGTAATTACGATTTCTGAAGGAAGGTTAATGTCATCGAAACGATTAGTTCTATTTATCAAAGTAATATTAGGCTGAATAAGCGGTAAGTTCCCCAAAATTTGAGCAAACAGCGGAGAGGCTAATTCTTCTATTGAAATGTCATCATCATCTTCGAGTAGTTCGATAATGTCCACTTTGGTTGTTTGATGGTACTCCAGAACAAGATGTGTCGACAAAGTTATTCCAACTTCAAGAGAAACTTTTACTCCGTCTCGATGAGCTACAAATTTGTATTTTTCAAGGACAGGACTCCCCGTTACCTTCCGTCGAGGTATAATAGTGGCGGTAATGCCACGAATCTCCACACCACCAGATATTACTGTATTCAAATTTTTGTATACGTGCATAGCGAGTTCTGAGAATATTTGAACGTGTTTTACTTAGCTTGTATCATTTAATTAATTATTTATATAATATATATATATCTTATAAGTGACATTCTAATTAGAATATTAATTATGAAGGAATATTTGAAAGAGAATATTACGGAGATTCCAGACAAGGGAACATCGAAAGAAATCTATATTTCTTTCATTCTATCTATATTTATTTATATTTATCTAGAAATCTGTCTACATTTATGTTTCATAGTCAATCTACCTGTATTTTCAGTCGTAGTATCTTTTAGATATTGCGCATGAAGCCTCGGATTGATCACCAATTTTTCTATCTCAGTAAGAACACGAGGACTTCTCGTGTCTGTCCCAAGGATCCTTATTTGGAGCATGTTATCCATAAACACTACCCAGTTGTTCATCCATTCTATGTGTCCTCGGCTGGCTGTAATGGATGCACTTCTTAAAGAACGAAACAAATCCGTATATTGATATCCGCGTAATTTAAGCTCCTTATATATATCTCTCGTTTTCATTATTTCTTTCTCGTTATCGTCTTCTTCTAGATAATCGATGGGCACATTTTCCTTGTCAAGATCTAGTGGAACACGTACCGTGCCAGTGACAATTGCGTTACCATTTTCTGTTATCTCAAACCTCCCAGTACCTGCGTAAACAAATATATAAAATATATTATATCGAAAATTTGAAAAAAGATACCTGTTGAGCAAACACTATTGATTTACTTTTTTGCACCATTAACGTTAGTTTTACAGCTGCTTGGTTCGAAAGAAGTGTCGCTCGGAGGAATTTAACATTTTCAAATACGACGGGTATATTTTTGTACGACTACTCCCTTAACTTTCCAACCATTTTCCAAATTAATTCAATATATGCTGTAGCTGGCAACAGATTTCTGCCATCGATTATGTGGCCGCTCATGTATTCATAATCTTCTTCTCGTATGTTGATTTCCATTACAATCTCTCTAGACGTGATTTGTTTCTCCGTTGCGAATGACGCGACGTACCAGTTTTCCAAATGCTTCCACCTTGTAAATTTATAAATCAATTAGGTAGATATATTATGTTTATATATTGTTTCTTAACACTTTTAACACGTTCATTGCCGTTCACGCGATATCGCGTGTTGTAGCCCTCACCAAACGGCCGTTCACGCAATTGTTTTTTATTATGAGTGACAAACCAGGACCCTCGAAAAGACTCAGTTCAATGCCAGTTCAATCATGCAAAAAAACGACTAAAAATAAATAAAAGAAAAAATAACTTTGACCACCACACGTAATTCAAATTTTCAGTTTGGCAATGAACGTGTTAAAGACATTTTATTATTTATTTGTCCTGTATAAAAAGCAAAATAAATGCTATACTACAGTAAATATTTACTCTAGATCATGGACTCTAGATTCTAGATGACATAGTATAGAAGTGAGACAGTCGCATCATAAATGGGTCGCAGAGTGCCCAAGTAATGTAATCAACTTACTTGATCGACGACGAGATCATCGGCGTGCTGCGACTAACTGGAAATTCTACAGGCGGATAGAGATTGGCTAATTGCGGCTGCAAGCCAAAGTTGTACATCTTGCCGAGTCCTTACAAAAATACTTTAGCGTTATCTTCGTGATGGCGTTGAGTCAACGCGATGGTTGTCGTATCGAAAATTTTATTCAAGACATCCTGCAGAATTCCATCCGGCGCGATTTCCACGAACGCTGTATTCTCCGGAATCATTTTCGCGACATTTTCGAAAAATATAGGATTCACTAAATTGTTGGTAAAGTATTCTGCATACGATATGTTATAATCGCAAGGCAATCTGCACCATTTTTGTTTATGCATCATCTTTTGTGGTAATGCCCATTGTAATTTAGCCAAAATATTTTCTCTCGCAGGGACGATATAGCAACTATGAAGAGGAATATTGCAACAATTTATCTCCTTATAAGAGATTTTGTTAATCTGTGTGTGAGTGAATAAACAGAATTATTTATTTAATATATTGTGTAAGAGACTGAATATACTGAAGGAAAAATGAGGAATACCTCTAATTTCTTCGTAAATGCCACTATTGATTCCCTCAGCCCGACGATGGAACATGTGTCTGGACTATAGCTGCATATTACTTTGATATCTACTGGACACATGATTTTCGCTTCTTTGTAACTAACGCCAATATCCGTCATGGCGTACTTCGCTATTTTTGTTTCTTCCAACGCCAATCCTATGTAGTAGGCAGACAAAATCATTTGTTCGATCGTGAAGTCACCAGTTATATATCCGCAACAAAGTTTACCGATTGAATGACCGATGGTATAGTCTGGCACAACGTTTACCGACATCAAGAGATCTATTAATCCAAGCTGAGGAAGGAAATAAAGGGGTCATGTTTTTCGAATTTCACGTAATGCTTGGGAAGAGCATGAAGGTTATTCTTCAAATCGACCATATCATATGTTATGTAAATGAGAACAATTTATTACAAGCGTTTTAGCTTAATTGAGCTATGTTAAAATTTACGAAGTACGTGAGTTTCAGAGTAATCAGTAAAATGATCTTCTCTCTTCGATATTGGTCTTTACTGCGCGATCATTGTTAGAAAATTTGTCACCTGCATTGCAGTGATGCTCACGACTGTGTTCGATATACAGTCAAGGGTGACTTTTTGTTTACTTGTTAAAATGTCGATGATGTGCACTCCATGTATCTTTAGAAGTGTATCACATTTTTCTATGGTTTCACAGAATGCTGGAAAGCGCAGTAATGCTTTTCCTGTCAACGTATAAATTCAATTTTATTGATAAACAATTAACTATAATCGTTTCGCTTACGTAAAAGAGAGAGAAAATACCCATGCCAGACCATTGGGATCCGATACCGGAAAACACAAAACAGATCGGCTTTCTTACTCCATCATAATGATCTATTTCGCTCGTTATGTTGCTCGATATTTGGTTTTCAACAATCGTATAACCTCTGTAAGGATGATTTAGAAGTTTTTCCGCATGGAGTTCGTGCAACAGCCGAACATATTCAACATCTACCGGTTGACTTCCAATCTAAATTGGACATATTTTGCATGAATGCAGACTTCTGTCTTTTAACTGACACAATTTTTACTTACCTCACATAAGAATGACTCCACTGCTTGTTCGGTACGACCGGACAGGACGACGAGTCTTGGCAAATCATCCTTTGGTGCCCCACCGTTGACTTTTTGCTTCATATTAGGTGCTAATAAAATATGAGCATTAGCTCCGCCAAAACCAAAAGAATTTAAAGCCACAAAAGTAGGTTCCTATATTGTTGGAGTAGTCACGACTCGTATAGTCCCTCGCTTAAAAGCTTCAATATCATCTCGTTCTTTTGTGATATTTATGTTTGGTGGAATTATGCCAGTTTCCATTGTTATCAGCACCTTGTCAGAGAGAGAAGGAAATATCCATTTTGAGAAAATTTCTAACTTCAAAGACGCGTTATGTTGAAAATTTGAATATCCTTATGAATAATGATCTCTTTCGACATTTCCATAAAAAATATTTCAAATATTTTCAAGAATAACACTATTTAAATGAGCGCAGATTACAGAACATCCCAGTTGTATGACGTAAGTTGATGTTTTATTATTATAGCGTATGGAATAGCTATTTTTGATATTGATAATATCTGTGTCTTTGATAAATTTATTTAATTATTAATATCTATCACGCTACCTTAATAATTTGAAGCAGGCCGCTGGCAGGCTCAGCATGACCAGTGTTTGACTTGCTGCTACTAATTAGTAAAGGGCCTTGTCTATCCTTGCAAAAAACTTTTTCGATTGAATTAATTTCTATTGGGTCGCCAACTTTCGTGCCAGTACCATGAGCATCGACGTAGGCAACAACAGACGGCGATATATTGCATTCATCGTAAAACTGTTGTAATAAAAAACTTTGCATTTTTATCGATGGGAAGGTAATGCCTTCTTCTTTGAATCCGTCGCAATTCGTCTTGCAATGAATTACAATTGCGTAAATTCTTTTAGCATTCTTCGCTTTTTGTAAAAACACTACCCTGATCGCCTCACTGCGCATGTAACCATTCGCATTAATATCGAAAGGTTTGCAAAACCCGTCGGACGATAAAACACCTGAAATTACAAAGTGCTAAATGATAGCAGTTACTTTTGTAAAAAAATATAAAGAAATATGTTTATAAATATATTTCTTTATTAAATTTTGGGATTAATTATTTTATCTGTGACGTTCGAAGTGCGGCGTAAAGAGTAATTATAAGGTACCTAATCGCATGAATTGCAAAGATGTTACAGGATTTAAGCAGAGATTTGTGGCAGCAACGATCATGTTATCACATTGTCCAAATTTTATATTTCTATATGCTTGCTCCATAGCGTACATAGTCGAGCTGCAAGCAGTATCAACCGTGTAAGATGGCCCTGTGACACCTAACCAGTGAGAAATCCAATTTGCTTGCATGGACCTTCTACATTCTAGACCTCCATGATCAGTAACCTACAATACATGTATATATAGAGTATATTAATATACAGTATATAATACTATAGTATGGAAATAGTTATATAAAATTATATATATGGATATATAATATTTTTTGTAGATAGTTTCTTCTTTATAATCTCTTATGATATCTATCTAATCTGCTTTTATACAATATTATTTTATCGTATCTTATACGGTTAAGATGATGGTAATATAAAATCAGTAGCAATAAAACTCCAAATTTTCTCAATTGATCGTGCTTTAAACGTAACAGACGGCAACAAGCACAAATCATCATCATCAATCAATATCTCAAATTCAGTTTAACAAGAGTTTTTGCCGGTTAGCTATATAAATAACATACAATTGTTATCTTTCATTCTTGTCTTGATTTAATTCACTCAATCTCATCTCTTTGCGATTTAAATATCAAAATCGTAAATTATCGAGGAAAATAGAAAATTTACTTTCGTTTAAAAATCGATCAGAAATCCTTTATCTATTAAATTAAATTATCCCCACACTTCTCTTTTTATATTAACTGATTACACTTATTAAATTTTAAATGAGACGATTATACGAGGATCATTCAATAAGACCTTAGAAAATCCAAGAGATGGCGCTCGCAGTATCAAAAATGGTTTGTTTTTAGTAAGCATCATTACTCGTACTCGCTAGACAGCTGTTAAAGTCTCAGTTATATCCATCACATGGTTTCATTTTTATTGTCGATTGAAGCAATAAACTTTTCTTTATTTAAAAAAATGGAGAAAAGTGAGTTTCTAGTGGTGATTAAACACTTATATTTAAAAGGCATAACACCGAAAGAGATTATAGCTGAGTTAGATGAAGTTCATGGCACATCTGCTCCTGTCTTTGCAACTGTTTACAATTGGGTAAATGAGTTTAAACGTGGCCGTACATCCACAAAGGATGAACATCTTTCGGGACGTCCAGTGGAAGTGACTACCCCCGAAATGATTGACAAAATCCACGATATGGTTTTGAGTGACCGACGAATCAAAGTGCGCGAAATAGTTGAGGCCACAGGCATATCGCAAGATACAGTGTTTTCAATTTTGCACGAAAAAGTGGGTGTGAAAAAAATCTCGGTAAGATGGATGCCGCGTTTGCTCTCAATGGAGAATAAACGCAATCATGTGGTCGACTCTGAGACTGTTTTAGCGCTTTTCCGTCACAATCCTGACGAGTTTCTGCGTCGATACATAACTGTGGACGAAACATGGATACACCACTACACTCCAAAGATAAAGAAACAGTCAAAACAGTGAGTTTTTGAAGACGAACGAGCTCCGAAGAAGGCGAAGACGGTGAAATCGGCCGGCAAGGTGATGGCCACGGTTTTTTGGGGCGCACGCGGAATCATCTACACCGATTACTTGGAAAAAGGACAAACAATAACTGGAGAGTATTATGCGTCGTTATTGCACCGGTTGAGGGAAAAAATCAAGAAAAAACGTCCTCATTTGAAAAAGAAAAAGATCTTCCATCAAGACAATGCACGGGTGCACACCTGCGCAGTTTCGATGGCTAAAATTATGGAATTAAAGTTCGAATTATTACACATCCACCGTATTCACCGGATTTGGCCCCCAGTGACTTTTTTTATTTCCAAACTTGAAAAAATGGCTCGGCGGACAACGGTTCGCGTCGAATGAGGAAAGGTCATCGCCCAAACAGATGGCTATTTTCAGAGTCTTCCGAAATCCTACTTTTTGGACGGCTTAAAAAAGTTGGAGAAACGCTTGGAAAAGTGTATAGAGCTAAAAAGAGATTATGTTGAAAAATAAAAAAAAATCTACCCAAAATAATTTGTTTTTCTATCTTTTTCTAAGGACTTATTGAACGACCCTCGTATCTTTCGAAATAAGAAACCGATTTTATAATTTTATAAGAAATCTATTTATCTGCGTATAAAAATTGTGACAAAGATTGGAATGATTTACTGCATATTATTTGCATTTTTGTACCTGCGTCTTTTCATAAACAAGCATAATCTCCGATTCGGAAAAACTTGTCCCGACGATAACTCCTGTTTTCGTGCCGCGTAAATCTTTCGGATTTATCCCGGCGTCGACGATGGCGTCGTACGTACGTTCCAAAAGACATCTAGTCATAGGATCCAACAGGTGGGCTTGGTTGAAGGGTATGTCAAAATATTCCGCATCAAATTTCTCGATATTATTGACCTTTCCCGTGCGTTTTGGTATATCCGGATGGTCTGCGAATTCAATAACATGTGGAAAGCAACACACTCAGATATCAGATAAAATGTAATATATCGATACTTCTTTGGATAACAATACTTAAGAAGATATTATCATGTTGCCAACGTCGACAGTCGTCCGAACCTAGATCTACTTTATTCAGTAGATTTTCTTTTAAATGTCTGACGTTGTCGGATTCGGAAAATCTGCCAGAAATTCCGGATATAACGATTTCATCCTGAATCGGCGCCGAATCAATCGTGGATGTGCCGTTACAATACATTTTTAAATATATTTATACAATTAATACAAGCCCGTAAACTTTAATGTTATCTATATTTCGTTTTCACGTATATTGTACGTCACTTCTTTTAAATTAGTTCCTACTTTGAAAATATGTTATTGATAGATAGATTATGGGGTGGATGTCCCCTCCCTCCTTGACAGGAGACACCAGAAAGCCAACCGGCGGGGGGTAACCCTCGTCGGGGACCGTGCCCTGGATTCCCTTCGTGGAACAGGGCGCGGTACACAGGTGGCGAGGGGCTCCCGGAAGGGAGCCCTGGGGCCGGGGGGTTGGGGAGGGAATACGGAAGTAGTTCCCCTGACTCCCCTCTTCACGGTTCGACAGGTAGACATCCCGCAGGGGTTTTAGTCGGTAAGAGTCTGACATAACCCCCTCCCCCCCAAGGGGAGGGGGTATCCATGATGGATTTCCCCTGCGTGACCAAAAAAAAAAAAAGGGGTGCGGGAGGAGGGACTCCGCCTCTCCCCCGCGCATATACGTGTACTATTTATTATATTCCTTTGTATATACTATGTGCAAAAATATACACATGAGTATATATATGCAATATTTATACAACTTCTTTTGTTAATAACTTTTTAATAAATAGGAAGCGACGGCTAAAACCTTTTTAGTGTTATTTAGGAAGGTGAGTTCTATAACATATATCAATATGAAAACTATCGGAGGTGGGTCCCCTAAACCACACTTTTACCCTATTTTCAATCGGTTTTATAACAGTTATATCGTATGACATATGATTTCTCAGATATATTAATTTTATATGCAAATATATTGCAATTTTATATAATTACAAAGGGAAGTGCTTATGTCATACTGTTCACCGATTTTTTTTGCTTTCAATAACTGCAAAATATTTAAATTACTAGTACCGATGTTTGTAATAAATAAATTTTACATTCCCATTTCCTTGTAATATGATATTTAATGAACATATCTCCTAGGTTTTTATAGGGTTAATTATATTATAATTATAATATAATTAATTTCATAAAAAACCGGAAATTATATTCATTGAACATTACAAGGAATTAAAATGACCAAATTCTCAATATTATTCAAACACAGTAAGTAGGAGAAGAAAGTTAAAATTTCTTTGATAATTGTGAGATTTTAATTAAAGTTAGTCAAACTAATTTTCTGATCACCGGTCTTTCCACCCTGTTGTTTGCTTAATTTTCTTAAAAGAAGAACAAAACTATATCCAAAAAGCATTCATACTAAATTTCTCGAGAACAAATGTAGATATGAAAAAATATTTCAAGCAATGTGTTATTTGTTTCGGAATTCTGTATAAAAATAGTTCTTTTCTCATACCTTTTTCCTCTTTTTTCTTTTTTTTTTGTAAAAATAACTTCTTGACCGGGAATGTCTGAAAAAAAATATTAGATTAATTTTACTACGTAATGCGTCACCTAAAATTCTAAAATTCTAGAAGAAAGATTCGTAATTTCTGAAAATAAAGGGAATCCTATAGGGAGAAAAGATTATTACAAGAACGAATTGTTAGCGATACTCTTGGAGCAGCAGAAACAGATAATAGTTCTTTCTACTCAATCTGATCTTAATGACCTGGACGATAAGCATGACGTCAAATACGTTTTGACAAGGTTAATCTAAATTATTCTTCGACTTATTGTATAATGATATAGCGGTAGCCAATCGCAGCCAGAATCAAAGTTTACCGGATCTCATGAACCGGACATATGAATATGGAGACTTACAGTGGCGTGCAAAAGTTTCAAGCCATAGTGTCTTTTTAAGATATGACAATATTGATTTGCTCTAAAAATTAATTATATAAAATAGTTGACATAACATTCTTACAAATAATAGTACAGTTACAAAATTTTGAAATTATATAGTTTCCAATTATTTAATACGTTGAATGCCACGCTAGTTTTACAGGGATTGCCCGTGGCGCCACGATGAATTTTTTATTATGCGATACAATTATGTGTGAAATATTATCGACAACATGTATAAATAAAACTATTTTTATGTTTTATACTGCATTAATTTCTTCAAACCATTGTAGTAACGATGGTAATAATGAAGAATTTTTAAGTATTGACATTTGTTCTAATTATGTATTTCTACTAATCTTGGCGCGCCGGTCACCGGTGGCCCCCACGGCGCTACCGCCAAGTTGAGTGCCGGTCACCGGTGACCCCCGTGGCATTCAACGTGTTAATCATATAATATTTACATGTGTTCAAAAGTATTGAGCCATACTCTTATTTTGTGACTTTATGAGCCCGGTTTATTTACGTTTCTTATGAAACTCCTTCGTAAATATTTGCTTTAACTATTGGAAACTTGAATAAGTTCTCGTTGTTTCCCGATAGATGGTGTTATTTTTGCCTTTTTGCATCGGGCAATACCGCAGCCAACTTCATCGTGAAGCTCCACCATTAGGCTCGAAGTGACAGTATATGTTATTTCGCCGAAGCGTAAACAACATATTTTTTCATAGCGTTAAACATGTTCGTGCCAAAAAAAGAGTATTCGCGGGGAATTTTACTGCATTACTTTTTCAAAAAAAATCTACAGCTGAAGCACATAAAATTCTTGTGGAGACTTACGGCGACCATGCTCTGTCGGAAACAACATGCCGTGATTGGTTTAGATGCTTCAAAAATAATGATTTTGATTTTGAAGGTAAAGAACGCTCTGGCGCACCGAAAAAGTTTGAAGACGAAGAATTGGAAGCATTACTCGATGAAGACCCCATGTCAGATGCAAAATGAACTTGCAGAATCATTAGGAGTTGATCACACAACAGTTGCCAAACGTTTAAAAGCATTTGGAATGATTCAAAAGCAAGTAAATTGGGTGCCGTACGAATTGAAGCCGAGAGATGTCGAATGGCGTTTTTTCACGTGTGAACAGCTGCTCCAACGGCAGAAAAGGAAGGAAAGGTTTTTTGCTTCGTATCGTGACTAGCGATGAAAAGTGGATACACTACGATAACCCGAAGCATAGAAAATCGTAGGGTAAGCCCGGCCATGCATCAACATCGACGGCAAAGCCGAATATCCATGGTTCCAAGCTCATGCTCTGTATTTGGTGAGATCAGCTGGGTGTAGTATATTATGAGCTCCTCAAACCCAACGAAACCATCACGGGAGATCGCTATCGACTACAATTGATGCGTTTGAGCCGAGCATTGAAGGAAAAACGGCTGCAATATGAGGAGAGACACGACAAAGTAATTTTGCAGCATGACAACTCTCGGCCACATGTTGCAAAACCGGTCAAAACCTACTTGGAAATGATCAAATTGGAACTCCTGCCCCATCCGCCCATCAACATCTACCGATGAAAGCCACGTCAAGGAAATCAAACTGTTAACAAGGAATATTATTTGAGTGTTATGCGTCGTTTGCGTGAGGCTGTTCGCCTCAAGAGGCCAGAATTATGGGCAGACAATTCTTGGTTTTTGCACCACGATAATGCACCGTCCCACACTGCATTGGTTCTTCGAGAACATTTCGCCACAAATTTAACCCATATCGTTCCACAACCACCGTATTCGCCTGATTTAGCACCGTGCGACTTCTGGCTGTTCAACAAACTCAAAGGACCGTTCCGGGGACACCGTTTCGACTCGATTGAGGAGATAAAAGCCGAATCGAAGAAAGTATTGAAGGCCATCCCGGAAAAAGACTTCTCTGACTGTTTCGAGGATTGGAAAAAACGTTGGCATAAGTGCATTGTGTTGGACGGGGAGTACTTTGAAGGCGATGAAATTGATTTGGAAGAATAAATAAAGATTTTTCATTTTATGAACAAATTCACCTTATTTTTTGATCACAGTAGTATACAGTCTGTAAAGTAAGAGCATGTACGGGTTAAAGTGTAGAAAAATTTATTTTTAATGATTTTTAAGTACATGGATTTGTTGTACTCCATGAGAAGAAAAACGCTATACCATTAATAATAAGTCTAGTCACCACCGGCATCGATAATTGCCTAGCGTCTCCGAGGCATACTTTCCACTAAGTTGACTGCGTGTTCGTTCGATAAAGACCTCCAAATGAGACGAATTTGTCGTGTCAACTGCTTCAAAGTGCACACTCTTTTTCCTCGAAGCTTGTGCTTGAGATATGCCTCACAATATGGCTAAAAAAAAACTAGGACGATATTTGAAGCCAACTGCCATTTATGCCGTACACGCTTTTACTTTACAGATTGTATGTTTTGATTCAACCAATCAGACGTGAATGTCGGACCACCAAGACGGCGCATGCGCGAGATTTTTGTATATTTTTTCGGGGTCATGTATTGAATCGGAGTTAACAGTCTAGTTAAACTATAGAAGTCTGTGGGTGGTACATTCAAGGACCCTTCTCAGTTTAGAAAATTGAAAAATCGATTTTTCTTTCATAAATTGATAGTTTCAAGTATGTAGAATAACGCCTCAAACGGTTTTTTCAACATGTAAAATATTTTCAAAGTTATTTAAGTCAGACATGGACAGGTCATAGTGCGCTCAGGTCAGAAAGAGATACAGCCATCTGTTAGTCGGGTTCTACGTCTACAGGGTGCCCAATTTTAAAGTTTACAATGCTATATTTCGCGAACCGATGATTTTATTGAAAAATGTTTCAAACAAAAGTTGTAGGGTTCAGAGGGGGACATCTGATGGTGATGATACAAAATCAGCTCTTTTTAAGGCCACTATGATATACAAATCCGACCGAACAACTTCTCTGCGGTATACATCAGGTAATGCGAGTGCCGGCGGTATGACAACTTTGAAGCTTCATATCTTGGGAATGGCTTACGCAAAAGATAAAAGTAGGTAGTGTTTTGAAGACGTCTCGATGTCTACAAGAATATGTAATAAAAATGGGGGGTTCCATTTAGGATTTTAAAGTTGATCTTCGAGCGACAATCCAAAGTCAAACCAAGGTCACCGTCAGATGTCTCTCTACAACTTTGGTTTGAAACATTTTTCAATAAAATCATTGATTTTATTGAAAATAAATATAGCACTATAAACTTTAAAATTGGACATCCTATATATGCACTTATACAGTTGGCTCATTGCATTCGGGGAAAACCCTCCATTTCAAACTAGTGTTAATTGTCCGTTATCATTATTGAATAGGACCTGTACATTAGTAGAGTCAGTTTATTTTTGAGCATCGTTGTGAAGAGATATATTCTCAGTGAAGTAGTTCATTTCGGAAACATGAATAGAAAACACGGCTCCAACGATTGGCAACGTCCGTCACGTACGCGAAAACGAAAGATTCATGGTAATAAATATACATTTTGTTCAGAAGGTTCAGGTAGTTGATGTGATTGGCGACGCGCTAAAGCTAACAGCGAACTCGATGGTTTCGCCCATAAAGCACCATTACATCCAGATGTTACAAGCAGTCATAAAACTAATCTATGAAGACTTAAGTAGTCTAGAGTCATTAAAAAGATGTGTTGAGGGTCATACTTGGAAGAATAATGAAAGTTATAATGCTGTTATACGACAAATGGCCCTAAAATACATAATCACTGAGGCGAAAAATGTAAATATTTAGCAACGTATTTAGCAGCTTGTTTTTTTCAATCATGGTAATACAACAATTTTACATACACTGAGTTCCACTTAATGGAAATAAAAATAGGACACGTAACCAAAAACTATGTTGAAAAAAAAAAACGATGCGAGCTTGAAGACGGCGGTGCGCGAAACGACTTCTGCCTCTAAAGAAGAGAGAACCACTCGAAAAATAAAACAAAAAATGAACTAATGGAGCATCAAAAAGAAGAGGAAGGATGTTTATATGACCCAGGAATCGCCGACTGAAGGTAAATATCGAATTAATAATGGCAAACTTGTCATCAAACTTTAAACACGTTTTTCTCAATATGCTGTTTTTCAACGCTATGATGTGGATAACTCTGGAACCGATTTATCCGATTGACTTGAAATTTGTTATACACCTTTCAATTTATTGTTTCTGCTGCATGAACTGCTATGGTGCGTATATATTTATTATTTCTATTTTTTAACATGAAAAAGCCATAAAATTTCGTGAAAAAATGATTTCATTTCTTCTACATGACGCCATTTTGTTAATGATTATTTTTAAATTTCCGCAGTTCATGTGTGTAATGAAGGACACCCTATGGATTAAAAAAAACGTCGGTATTATGTTGCCGCTCAATTTGACGAGAAGATTTCTACGCCACCGTGGAGGCATGCAGATTTCATCAGCTTCTGTTGACTTGGGCATAACATTGTCAATACGTATATTTAAATACGTATCAATTTTGTATTTAAACTATGTTCAATAAATATAGAAACCCTCAAACACTTTTATCTTATCTTTCGTTGAACAAAATATTGTTGTTTAAAAACCCTTTTTTATTGTACTCTAGACTGAGGAGGGCCCTCAATCAAACGTAGACGGGTGAAAAAAGCGCTCCCGCTTGAGTTTGTGGAAAAGGATTCTCTTCGCAGGCATTCGCAGGACGAGTCGTGCACATCGAAGGCGGAAAATAGGGACGAGAGTGCGGTGTACCATCTGCTTCCTTCTCTTTTTCCTCTTTTTTTTTCAAGGATTTCTTTATTTTCCCCGATATTCTTGTTTCACAATGTTATTTGTTATTAATCTAGTTTAGGAAGATGAAATGGGCAAAAAAAATAAAGAAACAAGTATACAGCAGCAGTCGACAGGTGTAATGCAGCGCGAGACGATTGTACGTTGTGAAGTTCGATTGCCGTTTGGATCTCGCGGCAAAGTAACGACGACAATAGTAATAATCACAATTGCGTACGCGTGTTGTGTGCTGTATAAATGAGAATGCGTTCACCTTGTGCTGTAACGACGTTAACGATTATTATTTTTATTATTATTATCCAGTAACAAAGCGTTCGAAGAGACGCGCTCCTCGCGTCTCACGAATAGTCGAAATTTCTTTGCTGTACGCGCATATCGCGATGTGTATCGAATACATATACGAATACGTTCCCCAAATCAGAGTATATACCTCTCTTTACCTTTTCCCCTCTTTCTTTTTGGCATTGTACGTATATATTTCTCGTTTAGTGTTCATGTACATGTGAGAGAAGGTGTACGTGTGTGTTGGTCGTTTGTGTATACTGTAGCAGCAGTTACTCTCTGCTTCGGCGTGTGTGTCTCTCTTTCTCTCGTTATCCAACTCGTCTCTCTGTGTATGCCTAATAAATATTACTCCGAGAGAAAAAGAACGAACGAATGAAAAATTAAGTGAACTGTCTCCTTCTCTTTCTTTATTTCTCTCTCTCTCTCTCTCTCTCTCTCTCTCTCTCTCTCTCTCTCTCTCTCTCTCTCTCTCTCTCTCTCTCTCTCTCTCTCTCTCTCTCTCTCTCTCTCTCTCTTCCTCTCGATTTCGGCGTATCTCTATCTCTCTCTCCCTTCCCCTCACTCAAAGAAGAAAATGAAAAACGACAGAGAAGAAAGGAACGCGTTAAGATAGACACTGAGAAGCGCATTAAAGCCACAAGCGAAACAAAACTTACAGTATACTTTTTGCCGATAAGTAAATTGCATTTCACACACACGAGCATATTTCTTTTTCTTTTTATCGTGAATGGCAATGAGACGCTTTCGTGACGATTTGAATATTAATAATGATGATCCGACTTCGACTTGTCACTTGAGACGGATAATGCTGCGAGTGGTAAGTCGTTGTTGTTGTTGTTGTTGTTGTTGTCGTCTGAAATGTGATACGAGAAATGGCAGCTGGCGATTCTGGAGATTTTACACAGTGGACTCTATTATATTACACAGTTTTCTTTTTTTAGCGCCTTATCTCTCTCTCTCCCTCTCTCTCTCTCTCTCTCTCTCTCTCTCTCCCTCTCCCTGCGCAGATATTTATAAAAATAAATACTTTGAAAAAGTGTTTCGCTCACTATACCATATAATCGATACGTATACATATACACACACACATATATATGTATATCGGAGCAAGATAATAAATAATTATTACGTCAAATAAATAAATAAAGTTGCTTCGTTTAGCATTCGTTTCGCGTATCTTTAATATATACGATTTACAAAGTATATAAGAGGCAACGGCTTGTCGTTCAGTGGATTTCGTAGTTGCCGCGCTCATAAAAAAATATGAACATTATTCGATTTCGTTTTTTCTGGATACTTAGCGAGAAGGTCGATTTCTTTTCCCGTTTCTTTTCGTTTGCAAAGTTCGCTATTACTACTCTTCTGAATCTTCTTTTGTCTTGACGTTTTCTTTTTTTCTCTTTTTTTCTTTCCGGACGTTCGTGCGAGCATTGATCTTGAGCGAGAACCGAGTTCTTACGAACGCTTTCGCGGGGCGTGCGCCTGTTTGATGCGAATCGAAGAATCTTGTTTCCGAAGAATGCGCTTGAGATGAACTTAGAGTTTACGCACTTACAAATCACAAATCGTATAGGAAGAATCCAATTTCACGGAGGAAGTATCTCTAAAATCCATTTCACCGTCAATGGTAAAAAGCACAAGTCAAAAAATATATCTATATATATCTTCCACTATAATCGTACAAAATGTCGACAGAATATAGAGGGTCTTTAGAATAAATATATATTAGAGGAAACAGAGCACAATAGTTCGGCAAGCCTCCAATATCAATGCACTCACTAACTGCGCATATCCAATTACACGTGAGTTCTCCCTTTTGGCATTGGATCGTCGATGTCCAAGCATGGCTCGAGATCCCCTCCCCTTCGCGGAAAGGGATTCCCGTGTTCGAGATCCTCTTAATTTAACACGTTGGCACTTATCTTCCGAAGAGAAGAATGAAAATCCAAAAACTTTGCCTCCAAAAGGTAGACTACGTAAAAATATACGTATAGAAGAATAAACACGTAGCAAAAACGTTCTAGAAGAGTATATCAATTTCGAACTTCGTGTTATCAGTTTACGCTTCACTTCTTTTTTCTTTCTTTATCCTTTTAACGAAAGGCATCCAAATATACGCTATTTGTTATTGTCGCTTCGTAACAGACTCACGTAAGTACGAACCGTCCTTCCGCCTCTCCCCCTCCCTCCTTCTTCTCACTCATACACACACTCTCTCTCTCTCTCTCTCTCTCTCTCTCTTTCTCTCTGTACGTATCTGATATGTGATTTCCATTTGTGCGGAAGAGTATTTTCCTACCTACGAACGCTCCACATCTACCGTTTTTTCAGACGTATGCGATACCTTAGATCCCTTTGCGTTAAAATGATATCGCGTATTTTTACTAAGCCCACCGACGTTTCGTTCGTGACACGTGCGGCTCTTAGGACCACGATCCCCTTTCCCCTCCCACCTCTTTAGTCAAAGTCTCACAAGAGCGCTCGCGTTACGACCACGCGATGTACGCGCACGTACAATTATTAGTATTTAGCGTAATGACTGATATCGTATTGTACTCTCACATACTGAGCGTTTTCTTAAAATCGTATCGCCATATGAAAATACGTTGATGCGTTGAAGTACCTGAATCCTAGAAGAAACTTTTAGGCATCGCTCTCGTCTTCGCCGATCGGCTGGCGAGACGTTGAACCCGATCCTATTCTTTGCCGACTTTTCGATTTTACGCTCGATTTTACAAATCGGACTCGCCGTAGAGAGCCGTCGAGAAGGAACGGTAGTCCAGAGCTCCGGGAACAGAGCTCGGTCCCTTGTACGGAGGCATTCGCTGAATGCAGTACTCCGCCTGATCCGGTGGCAGTTCTCTCCTTAATTCGTCCGGCAAGATGTAAGGCTGTGTGAAAGATGAAGAGACTCGCGTTATCATCCACCGCGCTCCTTAGCTGCGAATCGTTCACTGACGTGATCGTCCAAGTATATTCTCACCTTGTCGCCAGCGAGGATGCGGAAGCTGTCGATCACTTGCTCCGCCGTGTCGGTGTCGGTGGACTCGCGCGTCATGAAGTCCAGGAAGGCGTCAAAGTGCACGTAGCCAGAGTTGTTGGGGTCGACGATGGCCAGGATTCGTTGGAAGTCAATGTCGCCCTGCCTGTCCTTGCCGATGGAGTATCCCAGGGAGACGAGACAGGACTTGAACTCGTCCGGCGCCAATCTGCCCGTCCTGCCCTTGTCGAAGTGGTTGAAGCTGCTACGGAATTCGCTCAGCTGCTCCTGGGTGATGCCCTGGAATAGATACAAGTATATTTTTTAAATATCCATTCTTTTCGACAAGGTATAAATTGTACGACAATCGTGGTATCGAGAAAAAAGAAACAACACCTTCGAGTCTCTAGTGAGAATTTGATTCTCGACTTCATTGATGTTACGATTGATCGAGGTCAGAAGCTGCTCCCAACCGACGCGTAGCGTTTCCATGGTGTACTGAGTGTACCGATTCTCGAAGATCATGCCTTCCTGGACCGCTTGGTGAATCTTCTCCAGTTCCTCGAGATGGGTCTTGTATTGGTACACAGCCTGTTCGTATTCCTTCAAACGATGCAGCTGATCCTCCAAAGTTCCCTGAAACACAGACGTAGCGCGACTTGAAGATTTACACGCGGCGAGAGACAAACTTCTCGGTGTACAAACTTGTGGGTGACGCTATAATGATATCTACTACCTGAAGACCTAGACCAATAGCGGTGACCGCGTCCAATTGGCGTTCTATCCACGGTCCGACGACGTTGGCTTTCTCAGCGAACTGTCGTCTAAGCAGTTCATTATCTATTTCGACATTTCAGGAAATTTCGAGTCAACTTCCAACGTGTAATTGTCGAACAAAATGTATCGTTATACAGGATGTATAAAAAGTGCCGGGACGGTGAAATATCACAAAAACTAAGTATTTTAGAAAAAAATGTTTTAAATAAAAATTGTAGGATTTTAAAAGATCTATTTACTGACATTATGATTTGACCTTGAGTGGCGTCGCCAAGGTTAGAACAAAATCGCTTTGAATTTTTTAAATGGATCCCTCTATTTTTTATTACATATTCTTGTAGCCCTTTCTCAGACTTTTTCGAAGTATTATAATTTTTTCCACTTTGAGTAAGCCGTTTCGAAGTTATCGAGCTTTTTATGATAAGATGTCCAGCCAGCGGCTGGAACAATTTCGTCACTTGTATTTCAGACACATATAATATTAAAAAAAAATAATACTAATGTATTAAATTTATAACAGCACTAAAATTCACCTTCGAATCACTTCAAATCAATTACAATAAATTTGGCTTGAAGTGGAATACATTACTTGTACATGATACGCATTGTTACATACGAAAGAGATAAATGATTTTTCTTATTGATTTTTCTTTCTTTAATTGAATTATTGATTTTGTTATCTAATTAATACAAATTTCTGCTTATTGGATAAATCTTTTTGTTTCCTATCTTATTCGTTAGACTTTACTTTTTCTTTTAGAGATTAACATTATTCTCAAACGCTTTTGTAAAGATCTTGCCTTGGCTGGCTGGATATTTCTTTGATCTTACTTTGGTTGGCTGGACATCTTATCATAAAAAGCTCGATAACTCCGAAACGGCTTACTCAAAGTGGAAAAAATTATAGTGCTTTGAAAAGGTTTGAAGAATGGCTGCAAGAATATGCAATAAAAAACAGGGGATCCCATTTAAAAAATTCAAAGTGACCTTGTCCTGACCTTGGCAACGCCACCCAAGGTCAAACGCATGTCAGTAAATAGATCTTTTGAAACTCTACAATTTTTATTTGAAACATTTTTTTCTAAAATGCTTAGTTTTTGCGATATTTCACCGTCCCGGTATTTTTTATACACCCTGTATAATCCGTTAACGAGACCTCGTATTCGCGCGTATCAACGCAGCGAATTTTAAAGGACAAACTTCCAAATGAAAATATAATATGTAACTAATGCGACAGAGTAAGGATACTTTGCTGCTTGCGTAGTTCAGCTGCCAAGGTACCGTCGCGTTGAGGCACCAATTGTTTAACGTCGCTCCACTTCTTATTAAGATCCTGCAGCAAACCATGAAAATAATATTAATCAATGTCAAACCCGCCACATCATGTACTAGCGACTGATCCTCCCCGTCTCGTACCATGGCGGTGAGAGTGGTGTAAGGATTTTCCAAGCCTCCAGGGATCTGGTACTGCTTGACTATGGACTCGACTTCGCGCACCAGCGAGACGATCGCACTGAATTCCTTGTCCGCCTCGCCGAGGGTCGCTTTAAACGCGGCATGGGCGTCCATCAGGCCCTGAATTTCCTCCATCGTGTGCACGATAAACATGTCCACCAAGTCTTCCCTGGTTCCGTCCAACCAGTTATTGAACGGCTGAGAAAGACAACGCGTGACGTGAGATAACACACATGAGATATCGCAAAGAGCCGGGTGATATCGCAACTCGGCTGCAAGACACTCACAGCGGCACGCTTGGCAAACTCCAAGTGCATAACATCTATCTTCTCCAATATACGCTCGGCATCGTTGAGAGCTTGACGTCTGCGTTGGGTGAGCGTACCCAAGCGATCCCACTGATCGCAAATACTTTGGCACCTGGCGTTCACGGATGCGCTGTCGTGGTACTCGAGGGTGCTGCAACAACGTGGCAAGGGTAACGTGACAATAACGCGACGGTAATTCGCACGGTCGACGCAAACGGTCAACACTGCAATCGCCGCAGATGACAGATCAACGCGTGGCGCGAGACTCACTTGAGCTCCTGGGCGATAGCCGCGATCTGCTCCACGCGATCCTGATGGGCCGCGAGGTCCGACTCAAAGGCCTCGTGCTTCTTCTTCAGCGCCTTCAACTCGTTCAACTTGCACTGCCGGAAGTGTTGGGACGTGAGCATCTCCTCCTTGCCCGCGGTCCACTCCTCGTGGGCGTCCGCCTTGTGCTTGAATTTCTGCGCCAGATGTTCCAGTCGCTCGAGACGCATCATCTCCGACAGCAGCCAATCCTCGAACGTCTTCTCCGCCAGCTCCAAACCTAAGGGACATTTATTTTCGGGACATATTGTTATTTGATGCGAATAACGCGTAGAGATACACGCTCGTGTATACGTGGAATGACACGGAGGTAATCGCGGAATGGGAGAGACAGCGCACCTTTCCACGCTTTGTTTATGTCGGACACCATCTTCCCTTCCGTCGGCATATACGCCGGCCTGTTGCTCAGCCTCAGCTTCGTTTGCAGGGTATTGAAATTCGTTTCCAGCTTGGCTTTCTGTTCGACACGCGGCGGCTTGTGCTTGCGCCGGTACGTCCTGTACTCCTCGAGCTTTTTCTGACAGCCGGCGAGGGAATTGTCAGTCTGTCGATTGGCGAGCCATGGCATTGTTCGTCGTATCCATTCGAGCAAATCGGAAGCCAGGCGCTCGTACTCCTCCATGAGCCGCTCGTTCTCCTGGTTCACCTTCAGTACCTTGCAGATTCTGTTAGCCGCCGTCTCAGCCTACAATGAGAAAGCGCGCGTTTCCGTATTATCAGTATCGAGTCGTACCTCGGTATCTCATTCATGTATATACAGAGTTTACTTCCATATATTGAGCAAGACGCATGCAATCGTGAATGTCGTACACAGAGAGCCGTGTCGAAAGAACGAACAGGAAACTCGCGAGGCAAATTGCGAAAAAGTTTGGCTCTCGCACGTGTGAGACATGTTCGCATGAAACGCGTCAAACGATAATTACGAAGGCGCGAGCAAGCGAGAGCGCGTGCGTCTGCGCGGAAAACACTCGCGTATCTGTTACAGCTGTTAATGCCACAAATGCAGAGAACACACCTTTTGAGCACCGCTAAAACAGTGGTAGTACGAGGAAACATAGGTCATCACGGCCCTCTCATCAGGCATTGCCGTATTTCGCATATCTAGAAAAACACATTCGAAGAAACTCAAACCATGCGTTGTTAGCGCTTGAAAAAACTTGCCGTTAAAGATTTGATTAATTTTTTAACACAGTAAAACCGTGTCCGGGCAAGGGGCGGGTACGGGTGGTAACGTTATTAGTCGGCGATTCATCATGGCTCTCGATTCATCTCGTGCCATCTCGTACGGGTATCTCGCAGATATTTATACACGACAGAAATGTAACGAGCTCTGCGCGCAGTGCGTTTTCTCTCTCGCACTGGACGGGAAAACTAGCGTGTATGAAAAAAAAAAAAAAGAAGAGAAAAGAAAAAGAAAGAAAACGAAAAACTTTGTTACTGCCTCACTCGTAGGATACTCGTAGGATACAATGCGCTGGTCAGTGGATCGATCTATCGATGCGCTCCAAGACGACGGAACGGACAAGCCGGTAAACAAGGGTTGGCAAGGGTAGGTCGATTAGCGGGTTCGCAACGTCGTTAAAACGATAAGCACACAGTATTGTTCGTATTAATGAAGAGCAGAGCGCAGCTCGCGTCCGCGACAATTCGCAGGGGGAGGCGGAGGGAAGGCGGAAGAAAGAGCAACACGCATGTCTTGACGCTGACCTGCTGAGCACCTTGGAACGCGTGGTAGTAGCAGGACACGTACGTCATGATAGCTCGCTCATCCGGCTTGGGAGTGTTGATCAAATCTACGTGATATCAAGGGAACATTAAACATCAAGTGCGTTTACATGTGTGTCGGTACGATACTCGAACAAGTCCGATCCTAGCTGCTGACTCCTGTACGAACGAAAGTAGCCTAAACTGCCTGGAGTCGAGGCAGGATTTCATCCTGCCAATTGAGATTCTCGCGCGGGCGCGCGCGCGTCTCCTGAATGTACAGGGTGACTCATCTTGATTTACCCACTGAAATATCTCGAGAAATAATAAGAGATACGGAAGAGTATTTCGGACCAGAAGTTGTCTGATCCGAAGGGGGCCACGAGACAGCGATGTCATTTTGTTTACAAATAACGCCACTTTCGAGATATTCACCAAGCATCATTTTTCTTAACCCTTTGCGGCACACATTTTTCTATTAACCCTTTCACTGTTAGTGGGAAGTGTACTTCCCATCTTTTCTTGACTCGATTTTGCGTTGTAAATCACATAATTTTGAAGAACTAATCGAGGATGAGTTTTCCAGATAACTGAATAGTTGTTCAACATACTCCAATAAGATTTTATACCCAATTATTCATTTGTGATCGTTTATAATAAATCAAAGTTGAAAAAAATGCTTTTTTTAGGAAAAAATCGATTCCTCAGGCAGATATTGAATGTAGAGGTCTGAAATTTTCACCAAATATTTTTCTGATGTTGTACAAAAACATATATTTTTTTTCAGTATTTTTTGGCAGGTTAAATTTTTTTTATAAATATATATTTCTACAAAAACGGCCGAAATTTGATTTTTCGCACTTTTCAGCTCTATTTTCCTAGTTTTTTCATTCTGTATCTTCATCTTATCCATACTATCAATATTATTTTACTCAAAAATGAATGTTTAATCTCTAGTAAGCATAAATATGCAGTATTGAACATTTTCCCACAAATTTTTTCCAGCTCAAGCGAGTTCTATCGTCTAAAATCATATGTTCTTATTACGACCTGGCCATTATTTCGGATACAGATATCCAAACAATTGAATATTATATTTTGGACATTTTTCCAATATTTTGGAAAATTTTACATTATCTCGGGGGAATTTTTATCAATTTCGTACATTATGATCGCCATATTGAATCCGCCATTTGGAATTTTGCAAATCTGACTTCAGATTCGTAATCAGCGATTCGAAAAACCCATATATCATTAATAATAATCGAAATTTTTATCAATTTCGTACATTATGATCGCCATATTGAATCCGTCATTACGAATTTTACAAATCTGACTTTAGATTCGTAATCAGCGACCCAAAAGCCGTAGGATTACCAAATATTTTAATATTTTAATTTCTCAAGGGAAGTTAATTCAACAGTGAAAGGGTTAATTGAATTTTTATGAAAGGAGGATGTTGGAAAATCGCGATTTTTTACTATGCGACTATGAGTGGAACGTAAAATGTACATTCTGCATTATCAAGGACATCCTAAATAACATAAAAAAATGGTTATGTATTCTGAAAACTCGAGGAACATCAATTCCAGGTCAAAGACGCACATTGTTTAGAATACCGTTGATCGACTGTTTTGCAAACTCTGTTCACAAAGTAATTCCTCAATTCTAATGCAATAAAACTTTCTACATATCTTAAACTTATAAACCCTAAACCTTTAAATCCCATATATCCACATAAATCTTAAATCTAGAAACCCTAAATACATAAATTCTATACCTATATATTTCAAAATCATGAATCATAAATCCAGAAATCTTTGAATGAATATTTCTAGACACTTTTGCTTTGATAACAGTCTCTCAGACGTCGTTCTGGGCAACTAAAAATACATTTTGATGAATGTACTGGAACTATCGGAAGATCTATTTTAATCATCGAATTCGGATCACCATATTCATTTTCATCATTTGATACTCTGTCAAACCTCAAAGTAAGACCTTCATTGGATGAGCGCGATACAAATCTATAACACTTTTGGTAAGAGCATTTTTTATCTCGCTCATGATGATCGGTACGCTTGAGTTTTTCAAGATACTTTTTGCAGATTTCACAAATCTTTGATGACATTTTAATAGTGGTTTACTTTATAAAAAAGTCTAATATTATTTTTTCTTTCGACGGATAGTTAGTGAGATATCGTAAGTTAAATGTTGGAAAAGTTACCAAGTTTTCCTTAAATATTTCAAAAAATATTAGGCAAATAAAAAAATGTTTCAGACAAAAGTTGTTAAAATTAATTGGTAGAAAAAGAAGATAAATAAAGAATACGTTACGTTACTGTTACGTTTGAAATTTAGCATCCTGTATATACAGGGTGCACGATTTATCTGAAGACATTGAAATATCTCGAGAACTATGCATTGGATAAAAAAAAATGGTTAATGAAAGTTGTTAGTCTCGAAGGGGGACATCCAATGATACCAAACTCGACCTCCCACCCCACCCCCTGGGGGTGGGAGTTGGGGGCAACTTTGAAATCTTAAATGGAAACCCCCATTTTTTATTGCAGATACGGATTCTACGCCACAAAATACGTAAATTTTGTCCGAAACTTTTTTTTTGATTCGTGATAGATGGCGCTGTAAATAAGCTTATAATACGGCTTATAATAAGCCGTAGTTCGCCATACACCCACAGTGGCGCGTCGAACAGTTCCCTCTTCGATTCGGGTTCCCATTTGAGATTTGAACGTTACCACCCACCCTACCCCGAGAGGATGGGGGGGAATAACTTTTATTATGTTCTTTAAAAATATTGAACAGGTATTTTTTATTTCTCAATCCAATGATCATTTCTGGAGAATTGCGGAAAATATAATTTTTTGCGATTACAGCGCCATCTATCACGAATAAAAAAAAAGTTTCGGACAAAATTTATGTATTTTGTGGCGTAGAATCCGTATCTGCAATAAAAAATGGGGGTTTCCATTTAAGATTTCAAAGTTGCCTCCAATCCCCACCCCCAGGGGGTGGGGTGGGAGGTCGAGTTTGGTATCATTGGATGTCCCCCTTCGAGACTAACAACTTTCATTAATCACTTTTTTTTATCCAATGCATAGTTCTCGAGATATTTCAATGTCTTCAGATAAATCGTGCACCCTGTATATATTGGGTGAGTGCAAAAGTTCGTGCGGAGTTTCAATAGATGGAGTTATAAGCGTCGTAAAGTGTTGTCATTAATACTTCCATCTACATATTATATAACGTTGGAAAGGTGACGTCTTCAGCTGTTATTAAAAAAAAAATCATTTGTTTTCATACAAACTGCTTCCAGAAATATCACTTTAAAAATGAGTATCGATAAGGTGCATTTACGGCATGTTATGCTTTACGAGTTTCGGAAGGGAATAAACGTTGCCGCAGCCGTAAAAAACATTCAGGATGTTTATCAGGATGAAGCACCAGCTAAACGAACTGTGGAAAAATGGTTTGCTAAATTTCGGCGCGGAGAATTTAACCTTGAAGACGAGCCACGCTCTGGTCGACCTTCTGACATTGATGACGATGTTTTGCGTACTTTAGATGGATGGAAAAGATGGGATTCGATTTGAAGCTCGATATATGGGTGCCCCATTTGCTGACCGAGAAGAACAAAATCAAGCGAATTTCTGCAGCCGTTTCTTTACTCGGGCGGCTCAATAACGAGTCGTTTTTGGATCGACTAGTGACGGGCGATGAGAAATGGGTCCTCTACAACAATGTTCAGCGCAAACGGACATGGAAACAATCAGGTGAGCATGGTGACGCAATGCCAAAGGCCAGTTTGCACCCGATGAAGGTGATGCTCTCTGTTTGGTGGGATTGCAAGGGCATAATCTATTTCGAGCTTCTCCCCGCTGGCGAAACGATTGATTCGGACAAGTACTGTCGCCAATTAACCAATCTGAATCGAGAAATAAAAGAGAAACGTCCGATTTTGTCAAATCGCAAGGGAGTCGTCTTTCATCACGACAACGCCAGACCACACGTTTCGAAAAAGACGCTGCGCAAACTGAAGAGCCTGAAATGGGATGTCTTAACGCATCCACCGTATTCTCCTGATATCGCACCATCTGACTATCACTTGTTCCGGTCATTGCAAAATTATTTAAATGGAAAAAACTTTGACTCTTTGGAGGCCTTAAAAACGGCGTCTCTTCGTTCTTCGAATCTAAACCGCGCAGTTTTTATGATCGAGGCATCCGTATGCTGCTAGAACGTTGGGAAAAGATTATAGAAAACGATGGAGAATATATCATTGATTGAATAAAGATTTTTGTTTGCCTAATCACTGTGTGACTTTTACTCACAAACTCCGCACGAACTTTTGCACTCACCCAATACTTTCCAAATATTAAAATATAATATATATTACTTCAACATTATAAGAGAAGATAAATAAGATATAATCGATTTAATCTTAACATATGTGGTAACGTTGTATAAAACAATTTTATCAAATGACTTTGGATTAATTGACAAGCATCTGTTTTTTATAGCAATCAAGTATTGAGTATTGTTTATGAGTTTAGGACATGTGAATTTTTAAGTTTTATTGTAACAGAATTGAGGAATTGCTTTGTGAGCAGAGTTTGCAGGACAGTCGAGCAACGGTATTCAGCGCCTAAACATTGTGCGTCTTTGACCTGGCAATTGATGTTCTTCGAGTTTCCAGAATATATCATCACTTTTGTTATGTTATTTAAGATATCCTTGATAATGCAGAATGTACATTTTACGTTCTACTCGTAGTCAAAAGATCACGATTTTCCGATGTCCTCCTTTATATATAGGGATTTTTTGGATCGCTGATTACGAATCCACTATCAGATTTTGACGATTCTTTTTCAAAATGGCGGATCCAATATGGCGGCTCGCGATTTTTTTCGTCGGTTTGGTGGGCACTTTCAATGTATTATTACTAACATTATTATATTCAAATTCAATCAAATACCAAGCTATAACTTGAAAGTATAATCTGTACAAGTATAGACTGACTTTCATAAAAAAAGAGAATATTCATAAACACTTCAAATGTATTTTGATGCTGACGTTTTCTCGAGTAAAAAACAATCAATCTTGCTATTTTAGATACTTATTTTAAATTTTTTATAAAAATTAACGAAAATACATGCTTTCGGATGATAAACGACTTTGAAATTGAATCTTACGAAATTTAAATATACAATGTTAGTTTAGTGAATCCAAACATTAGAATCTACTAACAAATTTGTATCCAAAGGCAAGAAATTTTATTTATTGAATATCATAAAAATAATTTCAATTTTTATGTTTTTGTCCCCGCTAATTTCGAAACTGTAATAAGTTGTTTGTATTCGAAGATGTGAAAAAATCAATATATAATTTTCAGAAATATTTATAATATTTTAGAGCCTGATGTTGCTAGCGGACTCAAAAATTTTGTATTTTTCTAATATACTGATTTTCGCGGCTTCATGATTCTTCTTTAATTCTAACATGAATTTTTTGTGAAAAAAACACAATTTTTTATACTTTATTTATATAACAAAATTAATTAATAATAAAAAAAATTACACCCTATCAAATACTACTAAGACTTACTGAAATTTACAAAAATTACAAAATTACAAAAAAAAAATAATAAAATGCACTATTTAGTGTTTGAAAAATTAAAACAATGACTTCGAGATAGATGGTCGATATATCGACCACCATGCCGCAAAAGGTTAAACGAAAACTCCAATCTTTTATTTTGTCATGCCCTTTTCTACTGATAAATTTGAACAACTTTTGTCTAAAACATTTTTTTATTTGCCTAATCTAATTTCCTGAGATGTTTAAAGAAACTTGCTAACTTTTTCAATATTTAGTTCGCGATATCTCGGTAACTACTTTTTATATTGTCGGCGGAAAAAGTAGGGGGAGGGGCACTAGACTTTTATTATTCTATTTGGTCTCAAGGATATACTGTCATAATAGTGCCTTAACTTTGGTTAACTTGTTGACTTTCGAAAATTTCAAAATCATCAAGTTAACAAAAGTTAGGGCGCTATTGTAACAGTATATTCTTGAGACTATTTTTGAGTATATTCTTGAGATAAGATAAAAAAGTCTAGTACCACTTTTCCTTCCGACAAATAATCACCGAGATATCATAAGCTAAATATTGGAAAAATTATCAAGTTTTCCTTAAGTATCTTAAAAAATATCAGACAAATGAGAAAATGTTCCGGACAAAAATTGTTCGAATTAATTGATAGAGAAAGATGATGTAACAAAAAATTGGGACTTCCATGTGTAAAGAAAAGTGGTGCTGTCTGTAAGCAAAATGATATCGCCGTGATATCTCATGCCCGTCTTCGAAGCAAACAACTTTTGTCCGAAATCCTGTTGTTCTTCCGTATCTTTTACATTTTTCGAGATATTTAAGTGGAATTGAGTTAAAATGACCCACCCTGTATTATCCATCACATCACGAGCAACGCGGCTGGTAGCACCTGGACGATCTTTCCCTTCTACTCTGAACGAGATCGCAGCTCATACTTACCATCGGGATCTAACATGCGAGGAATGTCGAGATACTTTTCCGCGACATCGAAGGCAGTGTTCAAGTTCTCCAGCGGATTGTCCTTGCTGAGTTTATTGTAGTCGATCAGATCGGGCCGATGGCGATGGATGAGGGCGCAGAACGCGAGACCGTCCTTGAAGGACAGGTGGAAGTTTTGGACGTTGACGTTCTTGTATGGCGCCGTCTTGCGTTGGCACCAGAGCAACAGTCCCTCCTTGGCGGTCATCTCTTCCACGGAGATATCTTGGATCGCGAATCTCAGGATGATGGTCCATATCATTCCCAAAGTCATCTTTAAATTACCGTCCACGATTTCTGCCGACAGAGACGGACAGTGCGGATAGAGAGGGGAGAATTAAAATCGCACGGAAATGCAAAAGTCGCAAGTTTCAACTTGCGAACTTACCTTCCGCGCCAATGGAAACCAGCTTGACGCCCTTGCTGGCGATATAATCAAGGGCTTTGTTGACATTGGCGATCTTGTGAAACCTCATCTTGCCTCGGTCGGGTCTCGGGAGGGTCTCACCCGAGATCACCTCCAGCAGCAGCATCAGTTTCAGCCCATTTCTGAAGTCGTCCTCGATCGACTCGATGGCAGTGCCTGCTTTGCGAAGATGCGAGTTGCACCACGCTGTGAATGTCTGACAGAAGGAGACAGAGGGAGAGAAAGAAAGGGTCAATTAATCTCAGTGTCTCATGTCTCATGTCTAAAACATCATAACACACGCGCCATCAACAATCGCAAAATCATCGCCAAGGCGATCTCGAGCGACCGCTGGCCGACGAAGGGCTCGAACGAATCCGAACCGCTCAAAATTCCCTTTCGTCCCTTTCGCTGATAATCGCGCGAAATCAACATTTGGAAGAATCATTTCAAATGGGGGATTGGGTTTCTCTCCGCTATGCTGCTTGGTGTATATTTTAGTAACGACCCCGATCCCTCCCGCTATATATATCTTCTGTCCTGGTTCGTAAAGCACGCTTTCTATCGCCCGCCGCGATGATTCTCGAATTCTCGATCTCTCGATATCCTCGGACAATCGCGAGCTATCGAGACGGGTATCGCGCTCTCTCGCTGGAAACGCTCTTTCTGCGCGCAAACGCGAAAAGCTGCTCGTTCACAAGATACACACACACACACACACACATCGGGGAGGCGCCAGAAAGTTTCGCGATACAACACACACACACACACACGAGTTTAAAAATAATCACTCGGCCGTTTATATGTAGATACATCGAGAGTTAAAATTCCCGGATTGCTCGACACGCGATATAAATCAATTACTAAAATTAGCAGCGACGGGACCCGGAATATCCGCCGCTGCCGCGCGGCTCCATCATCGAGGTGACGAGGCTCGATTTTCGCGACGAAAAGAAATCACTCGGACCGTGTCCGTACGTCAGAAGCACGCAGGTGAGGGACGTGCATTAAAGGATCGGGCGAGGATAAATCGGGACAAGCGGGAAGAACGAGTTCGCTGGACATTTATTCGTCGCGTGTCGCGGCCGATTTAATCAAGACCGATGGAAAAAGGCGGGGCTGCCCGCCGTCGTGAATTTTTCGGCTTGGAAAAATATTGCGTGAAATTCAATACGGGGCTAGCGTGAGAAGCACGACGGGCCAATTTTGGACATGAGCCACCCTAACTTCTGCACGCGCTCTAAGATCTATTTGTAAAACATTGACTCCTCCCGCGCCGGGTATTAAAGCATTTTCACGACATTTCGCGGTTTGCCCCATTGTTTATTAATTGAAACCGCGAATGACCTTCGCTCTCTCTCTCTCTCTCTCTCTCTCTCTCTCTCTCTCTCTCTCTCTCTCTCTCTCTCTCTCTCTCTCTCTCTCTCTCCTCTCTTTCTTCCCTTCCCCCCCCTCTCTCTCTTTCTCTCAGAGCCGTGTTATTATGTCATCGATCCGTCAACGAGAATTACGCTCTCCTACGTATCCCTGCTGTTTCGCGCAAACGATTTGCATATCTCTCGTCCGTTTTCACAATGAAAATAAATAATATCGCACACCAGACGGCTGAATAATCAATAATATCCCGATATTTCATTTCGTTAGCTTTTAACACAACACAACACGTCGTGTACGTACATATATGCGGAGTTTGAAATTTAATACGCGATGGGAAAGGCTTTTTGCGGATGCGCGCGCGCACGTGTGTGTGTGTGCGTGCTAGCAATATTAACACATCGACAGAAGGTAGTTATAAGTCTAACAGGCGTTCTCGTGGATGAAGGAATGCCGTAGCCCAATGTATTTGCTGATAACACGTTATTTCTACTTCCGCGTGTCCATGTATGCGCGTGTCTCTGTGTGTGTGTGTGTGTGTGTATGAACGTGTGTACACCCGCGATCGTCGGGTGCGACCATTCTCACGTTTTATATGCGTCCACGCCGACGAAGGCGCGTTCGGTCGTTTCCCAAAGGCGATTTACAACGAGCGATAAATAACATCCTCCCAATTTACAGCGCGCGGTCAATTCACACGCACGGACTTTAGCCGAACGAACAAACAATTTCCACGGCCGATCGGCCGTGCGCCGCCGCGCGGCTGAGCGAAAAGAAAGGGAAAAGAAAGGGAAAGGTATAATATGTTCTCCGCGAATAGCCGAGAAGCTATTCTTAGGAAGTCGCCACGCGCGTTTCCCTCCTGTTCGAGCTGTTCGATTCTGCCGACCATTGAATTTCGACGGCACATTATCTCCCGCGATAACGCTCCTCGCAGTCAGTCGAGCATAAGAGATCGTACGAAGAGAGCGATGTTCCTCTTGGAAAAAATGTCACATATATTACACACACGCGCGAACGTAACGATGAAATAATAACGAGGCTTTATTGATAGGCGGATGACATCGTTATAGACTTTCTTTTTATCTCCGTGAATCACCGGGATCCCATTATAAAAACCGGCGTGACACACGTCGGTACGTCGAAGACAATATAAACGGTATCGTTATTTCCGTGGCATATCGCGCTATTTTGGCGCGCGTTATTCAAGAATCGTCGTCGTCGTCGGCGGGAAACTTCGATACGACAAATATGTTCGACTGGATGTCTAGTTAAAAACGATAAAGTGGGAGCCGCGTATATATCACATGCATACGTATATGTACGTGTGTGTATTCGTAACACTAATATATTCCGCGTCGCGATCGCTCGTGTGTCAACTCAAAAGAGCATGAGGCGTGCATTCGACGATAGCAGCGCGTGACATGAGCAAAAAATTGTTAGGACCATCCTCATGAAGCATGAGGCCCCGATAAGGCTGAAAGTAGAACGTCCTAAAAAGGGATGCCTCATTATTACTGCGTTAGATCCCAAGATGGATTTTACGAAATAAGACTTTGATAAGGGAAACTGATGAGGACTTTAGGAGGATTTATTAGGGGTGCCTTAGATTTAAAATGAATAAGACTTTGATAGGAAAAACTGAGAAGGATTTTGGAAGAATTTCTTAAGGATGCTTTAGATCTAATAAATAACGTTTTGACAGGAAAAGCTGAGAAGGGCCTTCGAAAAATTTTTTAGGAATGCTTTAGATCTAATAAATAAGACTTTGATAGAGGGGAAACTGATAGGGGCCTTGGAAGAATTTTTTAGGGATGCCTCAGATTTTACGAAATAACGCTTTAACATGGGAAACTGATGTGGGCCTTAGAAGGATCTTTTAAGAGAGGATGCTTTAGATATACAAAATTAAGTTTTGTTATAGAAAATTAATAAGATCTGAAGCGCGTAATAAAATTGTCATAATTTAGTATTGTTTTAGTAGATACGTTCTATGTGGTTCTTTAAAAAAATTTTTTAATTATACTGCAATTAAGAACAATTTTATCAGTTTTATTAATTGCCATATTCATTAGTCTCTTCCGAGGATTTTTCTAGTATTGCCTTCGTTTTGAAATACAGCGAACTTTAATGAAAACAGTAGCAGGGTTTTTATGTGCAAAGAATATGCTATATTTTGTTGTAAAGTATGTTATATTTTTAATATAAAAAATTTTTATTGTATACCAACAAGGTCATAAAAAATAAAGAAATTATAGTCTAAATATCTTGGAATGAAAAGAATGAATATTGTTACTCGAGCAATAATAAAAATATTTCCTTATAAGGTCCTGATAACATTGTCTTACAAGGACTCGTTAAACCATTTGTCACACATTTATCCCTTTCTATCCCTATTAAGGCTCGTCTACATTAGCTGTAAGAGTAAGGCTGTAAGGTTGCAAGACACGAAATGAAATATTTTCATTCGCTACCATCTTACGTTACAGCCTTACAGCCTTACTCTTACAGCTAATGTAGACGAGCCTTTAGGGGCCGATTAATATTAGAGAAAAATAATCAGGCCCTTAGCAGAGCCCTATCAATTTTTCTACTCGGCAATTTTTTGCTGTTTCTCGAGCGAGCGCGCCACGATGCGAGTCGACCGCCACATTATTCGCGCGCGTGCGTGGTGGTGCGTATCGACTATAAATAAATAGTTGTGCACAAGCACAAAGCAGTCCAAATGCGATGCGCATAATTCACATAATCCAAGTCTCGAAATCGCGCACGCACACACGCGCGCGCGACACGCGACGCACGACCACCGTGCGCTAATCTATTTCTACTCCGAAAATTTGGCAATGCTCGTCACTCGTCGCTCGCCTCCGTACCTCCTATCATTCTTATCGGATCGCCCCGTGTCTTATCGGAATGCAAATTCCGTCGGCGAGCGCATAGCGCGCGGTGCGTCGCGTCACGACATTTGCGAAACGCTCTATCCCCAGGATCTATTACCGTTTCTTTGCTGTCCCGCGTCTGCAACTCGAGAACGTATGCCTCTATCATGTTTCATTTAAACTTGGCAACGAAAGACCTTAATTGCGAATCACTCCGCGAGTGAGAGATCCTTTTCGCGCGAATTTCGCGTCGACCGCGTGCTCGTCTCTTCGGCGACCAGCTTAGTTCCTCAGGATCGCCGCTTTGCGTTTCCGCGCTTCTTTCCGTGATTGCCGAGCGACTCGAGATCTCGACGCTGCCGATCTCCGAGCGATGAGAGATCCTTAACTATAGATCGGCCGATGGGTGAACGATTGCTGATTGGCTCGCGTCGCATGCGGTGAAACCGGAAGTGAGAAAGAAAGATATGTATATATCGTAACGAAGAAAGTCTAACCTCTAGCCGACACAACTATCCGTCAAAACAATTTGTCGTTAAAACGCAAGGTAAAGTATGTATTTTACCATCAATAATTTAATGTAATATTTATTATTATACTTATTGAGTTCATATTTTTGATTGTGAACTCAATTTTAGGTACATTTATCATCCAATATACATCCAGCTATTAAAGGAATTGAATTTCTTCCTTATGAGTAAGATACAAGACTACAACTGCAATTAAATTGATAAACTTGGCTGGCCTTAGTCAATCAGATCACTGTGTATACATATATACATATATATAGTGTGTATATATATATATTTGCAATCAAAGCATACTTACATATTATATATAATTACCGGTAAAAAATTGTTTATATTGTATATAATCATATATAAAACTATACGAAATATATAGAATATATAAAATTATGTATAAGTTATTATATAATTATATATAATTTTATATAAAAATATCA